TATGTCAGTATGTTTCTCTATGTTTTCTTACTACCTAAATAAAACAATTAATACTTAATTTTCATATTGGGCAACATCACTTCAATATCAATTATAATTATAAAAACGTCTCCTCCGTGCATGTGTTATTCAATTAGAGTGAGCCGTATAATGATTTATTTAAGGCCCACATTAAATCTACATTACTATCAATTATAATTATAAAAATGTCTCCTCCGTGCATGTGTTATTCAATTAGAGTGAGCCGTATAATGATTTATTTAAGGCCCACATTAAATCTACATTACTTATGTGTCTAAGTGCTCTCAGTACGTAAGATTGCCCATACATTACGAAACACCATATGGGTGGGTGGGTTTTCAAGTTGTTACGATGCGTTACAAGTGAAGTATTCACAGAAACGTTACGTCACATGGGAAATGGACAGTCATACGTATGTGTGACTGTCCAGCGGGCAGTTGAAAAGTATGAAAATAGCGTTACGTAATTTAAATACCATTCCTAGTTATTGCTGATTTTCGTAAACACAGTTTACATTCAGAGTGAAGAAAAGTTAAATAAAACAATTATTTATTGTGGCATCAAGCTTCTTCCTTTAATTAATCTTATTTTAAACTTTAATAATGCTTAAGGCAAACGTAAGAAATTTCTGTCATATAACTAAAATCGGGGGTTATTTTTATATAGATAGGAGGTGGGCAGATTTAATTTAAATAAAGATTGTAAATTTACTTTAATTAAGATTATTTACAAAATGAAAATTTATTGAGGTTTTTGAATAGTAATGCTAATACCAAACGGAAATACTGGGAAAAAAGATTGATCTGGAGCAATATTCGAACCCTCAACTCATGTTTATCTTGTCAGTTACACTAACCGAACCAGCATATTTAAGTTATTAAAAACATATTATTATTTATCAACTGAATATCCTGTATAAATTTAAAATTTTTAACTCTAGGAACTCTAGGATCAGCTGCAAATATGAGATACTTAAAAGGATTCTTTCAGATTATTTGCTGTTTCTTAAGTGATCAGACATTTATTTCAAAAATCAGAGATAAAATATAAATGTCATTATTTTTTCGATTTAAATACGTAAAGAAAACAGCAACGAGTTACTTAACTTTCCCCGGTAACATTTAAAATTTTGGTGGCGCCATCTATTATCATATTTTATTTTAAAACTTTTTATATTTTTAACTATTATAAAATGGCGAATACCATAATTTTGAGGTTAGGGATGAGCTCTATAAAAAAATTAAATGCTAATAACGAGTAAANACAGTATTGTCTCGATAATTGTAACATTTCTTTATTAGATAAACTAGCAACGAATTGCTCAACTTTTCCAATAACATTTAAAATTTTAGTGACACCATCTGTTGTTATATTTTATTTAAAAACTTTTTATATTTTTAACTATTATAAAATGGCGAATACCATAATTTTGAGGTTAGGGATGAGCTCTATAAAAAAATTAAATGCTAATAACGAGTAAAATCGTCATTAAGTCCAACCCTACTGGAGATATGATACGCGACCACCTTTATCTCCTCAACCGTTTAATCACCAAAATTTAATAGTATCAATGCCAGTAATAAACAAACCTCCCTGCAAAGTTTCAGAAATTTACGACTAAAATCGCAAAAGTTATTAAGCTTCAAAAAGAGTGAACACAATCGTACCCCCCCACACACTAACATCCATACATACAGAAATTATCCTCCGAATTGTTTTGAATTTCTGGTTGTTTCAAGCTCCTACGAGTCCAAAAATGTGAAAATTTTGGGGGGTCATTTTTTGACCGATCGCTATACTTTCCAAGCTGTTATATATAAAAGTCGGAAAAGTAAAATAGAAAAGGTAAAGATATAAAAAGGTAAGTTTTTTCTTTTCAGATATTCTTATTTTATATCTTACTCAAGAACTTTTGTATAGCGAAAACACGGGAACAAATATATATCATGCATTCTCTATGACTACTTTTTTTCTTACCTTATTTGGTGCAATATTGGCTGACACTTTTTTAGGAAAATTCAGGTAAAAGTAAAAAAAAATAAAAAATACTTGAATTTATATAAAATGAAAGAGCAAGAGATTAATTATATAGTATATTTCTTTTTCAGAACGATATTATACGGGTTCATTTTTGATGTAATTGGATGCATAGTCATTTCTTTGTCTTCTGTGCCAAATTTTCTACCAATGAGGTAAGTTTTGAAAGAAAATTATTTTTTATAAGTAAAATTAAAAAGTATTTATTCAGAAAAATCAAATGTTTTATTATAACTTACATTATATAGCCTATATATATATATAAAACTGTGTTGGGGTCTAACATTACCGTATTAACCCTGAATGCACATAATCTTAGTGTCACTGTGGGATTGAGAATGATTAAACTATTATATGTATTATAAAATTGAATTTAATATACTGTAATAAACAAAAGATATACCGTATATAAAAGTCGAACTAAATTTTAAATAAACTAAAGACGTTTTCTACTTTTATTTAGATCTCTTACTATAATTAGTTTAGTTGTGATAGCCTTTGGAATAGGAGGAACGAGACCCTGCATACCATCTTTCGGAGGAGATCAGTTTAAAACAAATCAGGTATAATTTTTATTTGTGTATTATTTAAAATTAATATAAATCGTGCAAAAATGGCGTTTCATATTATTGGTTATGTAATAGCACATAAGTTATTTTATTGTATGTTCAATGCTGTGAACTGACATTTATCTAAGGCTTTATAGAAAGCGCGTGGAAAGTCGTATCGTAAAATAGAAGACAGATCTATAAAGTTTCGTAACATAACCATTGAAAAAACAGTTGCCCTATTTTTACAACCAAACGCACTTTTAAGCTACATTATTTTGAGGCTAAAATTAGTTAATAATTAATTAATTACATTATAGTATATGGCTGAAAGCAGGGATTCATCCGATGGCTGCAGAAATATAAAGTTTCAGGTGTGCTTCAGACTTTAACATTTGAACAACAATTTCATTTATATAATTTGACCAAATAATATACCGAAAATTACTGTTGTCGTTCCACTGTTAGCCGTAACATCGTAAAGCTTAAAATGTTTGGAAGCAGATAATTTACCACGTAGTGAGTGGCCATAAACTCACTCTAAGGGATGACAAAATTCTCCATCGTTTAAACTTTAAACTTAAAAAAATCGATTTAATAAATATACAATATAAATACAACGTTTTCACAAAGATAAAATCTTTGCTTTCGTTTCTGTTCTGTCGTTTCTTCATCGTTTCACATATCAGCAGCTTTTACTATTTTTAATTAAAAAATCGATTTGCTAAATCTCAGAAAATAGCGAAGTGAAAAGCATCAACAGGAGTGATCTGTAACGCAGTAAATTTTGCACGTAAGCAAGTAGAAATCATTACTAACACAGAAAATGCAGAAGTCAAAATTGACATTGACCAAAACGCAACTGAACAGTGGAACAGTGGCAACAAGTCAAACTTTGTTCCTTCAGATATGATTTATTTATAGTCACTTACGATGACATAGGAAAGCTTTATTTGGATGATGACACAATAAATTACAGTGAATATGAAAATGTTATTAGGTGTGAAAGTCATCAACACAGCCAGAGATTCATTTGAATTGGAACCATATATTTTCCAAAAAGATTCGACATCCTGCTACACATTTAGACACGTAATTTCTAGTTTTAACGGTGTTCAATAACTTTAAAATATTAATTAAATTAATTAAAGATTTCGTGAACTTTCACTCATGTCAAAAGTAAAAATCATAGCCTTGAACAGAACGGGAGCTGAAAAAATAATTTCAATAAGTATCATTATAAAATAAGTCGCGATATTATTCGAAGTGTAATTAACAGCATGCCAGAGGAAATCCATGCTTTTGTGAGTAGCCAGGGGCTGTAGGAGGGATCTCTATTAAACCACTTACTCGGCACGGGTAGTTAAACCCGATCTGAATGTCTGAGGATGGCTTATAAAATTAGATTAAAATCTTTTAAGCTTAATCTAGTCAGGACCTCACACCAGGTAAAAAAGGATAATTCGCGTCTTACCTCGCGATAAAAATATAAGATATCTCTAAAAAGGAGGGCTAATTTATGAGCGGGGAGTATCGTGGATAAGTCGATAGGGAGCCCGTTATTTAAAGGAAAGTACCAATAGACAGATTAACAACAACTAAAAATTTAATGAAATGAATTCAAATATACATGAGAATATATTGACATTGTATCTAACATAATTATATATCTATTAAATTCCTAACAGAAATATATATTCCGTAACAAAGAGAGAGTTTACAAAATATATTATATTACTGTACTTCACTAATAACTTGACTTATAACAATTCTGTTGAAGTCAAGTTCTGATCGAGGTTTTAGTGAAAGCGGTAATTTCCCTTTGATCTCTAGGCGGAAGTTGCTATCCCAGGAAATTATGGCACACAAATTCACAATAAGAAGATACCTTATGATGTGCCCGGAGTTTGGCGCGTATCCCTATTTTATATCCCAACTCTTTTTCAATGGAGATTTGGAGATTTTGTCATCTGACAATGATCTAAGTTTTACTAAACATGTAGTCATCGGATGAATAAGAAAGTAAAGTTACTTTTGAAGAAAGTAAACTCGTGGGAAAGGAAGTTGAATTTCCTTGCTATCTCTTAAAAGTTAGAAAAATGTACACTTTTATGACAAAATATTATTTTGGTTTCGTATAAATTTTGTAGAATAAATTAAGTTAATATTCAGATTTTCACACTTTTATTAAATGCCACAAAATTTTAATGAACACAATATGTACAGTACATTAATACATCCGTATCATGTTTTCTCATAAATATATTATCCAAAATTTTTATCAACTATTCATACTCATAACTTAATAAATTGCAATAAACAGAATTTTCTACTTCTAGTTTTGCTCTATTTTTATCACTAATTATCGCTAATACGTTATCACAGGTTATACAGATCATAATTATAATACTCTTATATAACGCTGTCTTCAGTATTATACAGCAATCCAAACTCAACCAAGTTCTGTATGCTGTCGTTTCTGTACATATTGTAAAGATTTCCGCAGAAAAAGAATTTAGTTCCAAAATTCACTTCTAAGGGACTTATGGCGCTGCGAGTGTCAGAAAAAGAGCACTGTTTTCATTAATTACATAACAAATTTTCCTTAAATTTACAAGAGCGTCCATGCAGTCATGAAAATCGCTACCGATCTGCACTAATACGAATCTTATTTCTTGCCTCTTAAAGGATAGAATTAATTGAATTCATTCTATGCGATCATTAGTTCTTAACACAATTAAGCTATTTTCATATAAATAAGAAAACTGCACATTCTTGCATACCTCCTAATTATAAAAAGTTAATTTTTAATAGATCATTACTTTTGTTCTTTTCAACAGAAATTTAATTGCTGTATGTTTCGTATAAAAATGATTAGGTTATATAGTTTTTGTATTTGCACAGTTTTATTGTAAGTACATTGTATCCTTAAAATAATAGAGAAATATATATACAGTATATATAATTCCAGATAACAGAATTAAGAAGGTTTTTCTCTTTTTACGTTATAAGCTGTAGAATGGGAATGTTAACTTCGTCTTTTTTAATTCCTTTCTTAAGAGGTAAGACTGTTGATTAAATTATAGAATTAATACATTGCTTTTATAATTTTTGACTCGTATATTAATCGTTAATTTGTCTTTTTAATTATGTATTAGATATTATAAAAAATATTAGCTAAACATTAATTAAGTTACTTTTACACATTTCGGTGTTCCTAAGTTATACATTTGACGTTTATATTCGTACACGATGCCGTTAGTACAGCTCTGTGGCTCAACAAAAAATAAGCGTTTTGTAAAGTTTGATAAACTTACTTCTTAAACTAAACATTCTGCAGCAACCAATGTCACCTTAGCTGGGTTTGTGAGGTCCACTATCAAAAACTCCTAATCTCGAATCACAAGCGACAAAGTGTTTATAAGTAAAATGGATTTTTAAATAGATGTTTTATTAACGTCATGAAAAAATTTGTTTTTGAACAGAGCAAACTTAATGAAATTAAAATATATAGACAGGAAAATTAATAGTGAACAACGGTCAAAAGATATTCACTGCTAGCCATTAAAATTGCTACACCACGAGGGCAGCATGCAACAAACGCGATATTTGCATGAAAGGTACAACATGCTGGGTGCTCTGAGTTACAGAGCACCCAGCGCTTGTCGATTTAATTATGTCTTTATCCTGTCATACTGTATGTATGCAATAACCATGATTCTGCTATTTGCTTTTCTTCCTGATGTAGCAATCTTAATGGCCAGCAGTGTATTTTTGCAATTGAATGTCCAGATTACCAAGAAATATACAGTCAAGTATTTTCTGAAGAAAATGTTTTCACATTTAGAAGAACACATCTAAACACCATATTGCGCTCGATTTAAATATGATCACCAAATGATCTTGAAATTGAATGTTGCAAGATGCATCTATCTGATATTTTAAACACAATTAATATTCGAAATGTTACAATACTTGAATTTTTTATTTATTTATTTATTTGNGAAAAAATTCTTAAACGTTTCCTATTGGCTTTATTAAAACGAAAGCAGCCACTAGTGATGTCATAAGACACGCTCTCGGTACCAATTTCGTAAGAGCTACTATGTGTTTTGTAAATACGAATTATAAAATATCTTACTATATTTCGTATCGAACGTCTCGTAAGATCGATTCACGAACGTCTCTTAAGATATGTACGAGACGTTCGTAAATCTGGGCCCATGTGTACAATAAGTACGCGACTACTGAGGTCCAATTCAATAACTAATCATTACCACAACTCACATTATCCAACACTTGTTTAGCTAAAATCTTACAGGGTGTACCCCAGGGGTTCTCCTTAGTCTTGGTATAAACATACGTTTTCAATTCATCACACCACAACTTAGTAGCTATGTGTTTCCTTTCTTTTTTTTAGGAACGGCACGGCACTATTTATAGCATTTTGGATACTACACCGTATATGGGTTCAGTACTGAATAAATCGTACTTGTCCTCCAATATATCAAAGTTTTTGAGTGATAAATTTTGTACTATCTTATTCCTGAACTTGTACCAATTAGCTATTAAAATCGAAAGTAACCGTACAACTTGGAGAATCAGGCACGCTCGTACTCAAACATAATCAGTTCATGCTCATTAGTGGTTTCATTAACCAACCTTCAATTACTAACACCTCGAAATGCGTAGTAAGGTTCAAATTAAATATAAGAGCAACCTCTAACGGATACAAAGTCCGACCTGCCTGTGGATCATTTAAATTTACTACTGATTTGTATTTTGAGAGCTGAATTTTGAGGCCCCAGGAGCGCGCCTCGTGCGCTTGTGCAGAAATCCGCCACTGCTAAAAGGTTACGTAAAATTGAATCACCTATGCCCCTTTCTAGAATAGTATATAACACGAGAAATTTCGAGATCGACAGACAAACTTCCTAACTCTCGCAGGAGAAAAACGCAAACGTTACGAATAATACGAAAGCTGCTCACAATGAAGACCTTTTCAAAAGTTTACAATAGGGTATTATTCTAAAGTTCCTCGACTTTCTTTTTCTTTACACATTATAAGTTACAAAATTTTATTATTATATTGGTTTTAGGTCTTTCCGCCTGGTAGACGGCGAGGTCCTTTTCTCAGGTCCCCCCAAAATTTTCGCACTCTTCGGACTCAGGGGACCTTAAAACTTCAACAAATGCCAAAAAAATCGGTATTTTTTTCTGTATGTAATTTGTTTGTGTGTGGGGAGGACACGATTTTGTTTACCTCTTTGAAGCTTAATAACTCCTGTGCTTTTCGTCGAAAATTTCAGAAATTTTTCACGAAGGTTTGTGTAATAGGAGAATTGATTCTATTAAATTGCGATGTTAAAGGTCGACAGGATGGAAAGATAAAGCGGGCCGTGTGTGATATCTCGAGTAAGGTCGGACTCCATCCCTGCCCTCGAAATTAAGCTTTTTCATTTTATAATATTTAAAAATATAAAAATTTTAAAAATAAAATATTGTAACATATGACGCCACACACGCAGTTTTACATGTTACCAGGTAAGTTAAGCAACTCGTTGCTGAATTTGTTTTATTTGATAACAATCAATAGTAAACAAATTATAATACTACGTGTTATAATTTGTTTACGTAATATAATTAAGTAATATTAATAGTAATCTATAAAGAATAGTTAATAAGAATTATGATTAACGATACTTAATAATTAGGCTATTCGTTAACATCGATAAATATTATTAAAATACAGAAATATTTAACGTTACTAATAAATATTTAGGTATTTATTAGTAATCACAGGTCATGTACTGTACAGAAGATAAAGAGTGATTACATTTTATTTATAAATATTCCTTGATTAGAGATTATATCAAGTGACTCGCTGTAAATATAAATGTAAAAATAAATACAGTTCTTTAATAAATAATAACAATTTTACCTCTAATTTTCAGTTAGAGATAGAAAGCATAGGTAGAAAAAGACATTTTTCATGTGCCTACTATAACAAAAGCAGTAATAGGCGTAAATATTTAAATACTAATTTTATTTATCTATTTCTGTGATAATATATATGCTTAGATATATTAAAATTTCATTCAGATGTCTTTTAAAACCAAATTAAAATACAACAGTCGTAACTACATTAACTAATCTGACGTCTTTGTCCAGATAATATATCTTTGTTCGAAAAAATAAATCAAAACAAAAGTTATGAAAAAAGTTTTATCAGTTTTGAACGATGAACTCATCATGTACACAACTCGACATGGATCAAAGTATGTGACTGTATTTGGTATATTTTACTGATTTTATTCTCAATTAATATAAATATTTTACAGAAACTCCGTTACTTCGATTCAAAAAACCAGTTTTAGAAAAGGTAAGTAAATATAAATTGTTTAGAAAAATTCTTTTTACCTCTATGTTCTTACTCATAAATTTCTGTTTGTATTCTTGTCTACCTGGACCTTATTTATTAATGGGACTTACAGTATTATTATATAGCCGGATGGCCGAACGGTCAAGGTAACAGCTTATAACTGTGGGGGATCCAGGATCAAATCCAGTACGGGTCGAAAAATTCCTCGGGATTTTTCGAGGGATGGTGGTAGTGGTTTGTCCGGATATGTCGGTCCTCGTCCTTCACCACCCAGCCGCCCCATTGTGGGTCTAACTGAACCCATAATGGGCTTGCTAAAAGAAACTTTCTTAATGACCACAGGGCAGAAAAAGTTTTAAAAAATAAGACTTATTATAATGGTGTAGTTTCCGATTAGATATAGACTATATCTTACTAAAAATGTACAGTACTTTCTCTTTAAAATAAGATCTTTTTACTTCGCTAATCGGAAACTACACCAGTATAATAAGTCCTATTAACAGACAAGGTCTTCTGAATAATATTCTGTCATACGTGTTCTATTTGAACTGTTTACAGTACTTATGTTATTTATTTATTTTTTAAGAAAAAAATAATATATTTGTAATTCTATTTATTTGAAAACATTTTCATTTATTTTTCTAATTTTAGATTATTATTATTTTTATTTTTTATATCACATAGTTCTATAAAATATAACGAGCTTTTATTTATTGTAACATCGTCACAACGCTGGGCTGCAATTTTTAATCACTTTTTTATTTATTTAATTTAAAATATATGCTCTCCACCTCAAATTAGTAGTGGCTTGTCCCTATACGTCATACTTTTCCTTTAACAATAGAGTCGTGTAGGTCATCTATTAACTGCTTTTGAGGAGGAAAGTTTTGAATTGAAATAACGTCATTTCCGGTTTGCGTCGGAAGTTTGCCCATAATTAATTGGGGCCTCCTGCCCCTATTATTTCTATTTCTGGTTTTGATTTTCATGTAATTAACTCCGTTCTCGAAATTAAAGAAGAACAAGCAGTCAGACAGATAACAGCGCGAATCTGTAGGTCTACAATTCTTCCAAATTGCAACCCAATACTGACAAACATTCACAACAGTAGTTATGATTCATAGACCCTGTATGATTGTAGCATTATATTATTTTTACATCAGAAGAAAATGAAAATAAAATTTAACAAAATACATTTTTTAGGAGAGAATTTCTTATCCAAAAGCCATTTTCTTTATTCTGATACTACCATTTGCGGATGCATATTTCTATATTTCGTTACAAAGTAAGTTACAATTTTATTATCTTACA